CTTTGGAAAAAAGGTTAGCATTTTCTTAAAAGGTGTACATACACCTACCATGTGATCCTACAATCCCATTCCTAGGCATTTACCTAGGAGAAGTGGACGTACATGTTCACAAAAAAGGCTTCCACGTGAATATTCATAGAGGTTCTATTTGTGATAGCTTAAAACAGGAAATGGCCAAAATTTCTATTAAATGTTGAATGGATAGAAAACAGAATATCCATACGATGAGAAGGAAAGAATCATTGACACATGCAACATTATGAATGAATCTCAAAATGATTATATTAAGTGAATGAAGCTAAGCCAAAAGGGAATATGCTGTAAAGTTCCATTTATATAAAATTATAAAAAATGTAGACAATCTATCATGATAGAAAACAGTTCAGTTGCCTGGGGATGGGAAGACAGGAAAGGTGCAGAGATCAATTATACCATGAGTGCTCAACAAATTTTAGCTATTATGGTAATGTAGGTATTGGGAATGTGCAGAGTTCTGCTGACATTTTAAAGGTAGGAGCCAAAGCTGTTCATTCTCTTGTCAAAACCATGAATTGTCTCATTGAAGGCACTACTGTAGGGGAAATACTGAGTTCTAGTCTCTGTTACATAGCAAAGAAAATGGGAGTCCGAGGATGCTGCAGCAAATGATCTTCATGCTCTCTCAAGTGTGTTTTCCTTATAATTGGAAGTTTGGGCTCGTTGTTTATAGTCTGTTATGATTGTCTTGCAGTGGGAATTGGGAACATATTTATCCATATTAGAGATGACCCTGCTATATACCATCGACTTCAGTACAACACCAAATGGCTTCTACTCTAGGAACACTAGAAAAAGAAGCAAGTCATGTCATTACAAAGCTTCAAGAAATGGTCAACGGTTAAAAGGGAAGAGAAGTCAAAGACAAAGTGAGAGCCCAGGACTTCTTATTGTTACTTTAGTGCTTGTGGGAACAGTGAATTAAGATGTTAGTAACTTCTTAAAAATTCTCAAATAAATAATATAAATTAGAAAAGGATGCAACTTATCCTTGAAAACATTGAGAAAAGTGCATTTGCTTTATATTTTACTCAGTTGATTGCTATTTTAATTCAGAGATTGAGAATGCGGCCCCTGGAGTTTGACCAGCTAGTTCACATTGCAGTTCTGCTACTTGATGCTGTTTATTCTGATGGCCCCGTTTCTTCATCTGTGTGAAGGGGAATTTAGGATTGTTTTGGGGATTATATAATAATTTATATCAAGTTTTTGCCAGTAACTGGAACATGTCAAATCCCCAAAAACTAGCATAATTTTTGTTTAATCTCTACACAGGTGCTGAGATTCTAATAAATACATTATACAGCAGAGTTATAAACCTAAAATCTGTTCTTCTCTAGAATTTAGTACACTCATAATAAGCCATACAATTTGGAAACTATTATATATGGTTATAAGAATCCTACAACTGCCTTTGAAATGACATAATTTAGAGATACAATCACTTTTTGTCTCCTGACCCTACAAAAACTTGGCTTATCCACAGGTCTGATGAGGAGAATGCCCTAGATACTGATGGCTTATCTTGCATGGCAATGCATGTAGTGTTGAGGATTTATGATCCAGAGTCACTGCTGCTTTGAATCATGCACATTTTTAAACATCTAGCTAAATGATCTCCATATAACTAAAACTTTGCTTTCTTTCACTATCTTCCATTATCTAGATTTACTTTTAAAAATATTATTGGTGACTGCCCTCTCCCTGTCTCCCTGAAAGATTGAGGGATTCTTTTCAAGTTTTGCTAGGCTTGAAGCATAAAAAAGAATGAATTGCTGACATTTCTATTTTGTCTCTCTTTTAATAGATCTATTGTGATCCTTTACTGTGTAAACCCCAATTTAAACTGCAAAAAACAAATTCTTGAATTATCCACTAGGTGGAAGCCTTGTTCTTCTTTAAAACATAGATTTCTTTTTCTTTCTTTCTTTTTCTTTCTTTCTTTCTTTCTTTCTTTCTTTCTTTCTTTCTTTCTTTCTTTCTTTCTTTCTTTTTTTTCAGTGAAATTTATATATTTTCCCACTTATGAAAAGTTGAATGCATCTGTCCTGGTATTAAGAACTCTGCAAAGAAGTAATGGTTGTATCTCGGCTCTTGAGGTTGACAATGGAGGATTCATTTAAGGAGGAGAAGTGTGTGGATCTGTGAACAGTGTTTAGTTTCCTATTTTCTCTTTATCCTTCATGGACTACTCAAATAAACAATCTCACATGAAACATTGTTCTCCACAGAGATGTCATGTTCCTCTAAGGACTAAATCTGAAGATTCCCTTTTATCTCTTTACATAGGTGATTTACGGGAGGATCTTCCCAAATTATAGTACTGTATTTCCTATCAGTCTTCATCGTTCCACCATTTTGATGGAACTTTTCACAGCAAATGTTAACAGTGATACTTATGTTTCTGACATTTTTAAAGCAGATCTACAAAAAGAAGGATAACTTTCAATGGTTCATTTGTGTTTGACTTTTCTAATGGTTCCAAGTAACCAGGATTTAATTTGATCATATATACCATTTTAGCAGTGTATAAGGATGATGAAAATTATGGAATGATGGGAATGCATTAAATGACAAGCGCTGGTAGAAGTTTAGAGTTGGGAAATCTCGGCTTGTTCAAAGCACTGAGATATTTATCTAGTAGTCAGGAAATTTCAAATTAGGTAGAATGATGATACAGCCACTTTGTAAAACAGTTTGAGTTTCTTAAAACATTAAACATAAACGTATCATCGACCCAGCAACTTCCCTCATCATTATCTAGCCAAGACAAATGAAATTATATGTCCACACAAAGACTTACACATGAATGTTTATTAGCAGCATTATTTATATTAACCAGGAAAGGAAAATGATCCAAACGTCCATCAACTAGTGTATAGACAAACAAAAATGGTATATCCATGCCGGGGTGTACTGCTGAACAATCAAAAGGCAAGAAGTAGTGATGTGTACTAGAGTATGGATGAATTTCAACAACATGTTAGGTGGAAGAACCCAGATGTAGAAGATTACATATTGTATAATTTCATTTCAGAAATCATGTACAGAAAAGGTAAATTTATGACAGAAGGTAAATTAATGCCTGAGAGTTGGAGTGGGAATAAGGAATACCTGCAAACAGGCATGAAGTTTCCTTTTTGTGGTGATGGAAGTATTTTACAATTGAGTTGTGGCGATGGTTGCACAACTCTGTACATGTATTAGAAATTACAGAATTTATACACTTAAATTTTATTGTATGTGAAAATCTGTTAAAAATTGATAGAATAGAGCAGCCCAGGTGGCTCAGTGGTTTAGTGCCACCTTCAGCCCAGGGCATGATCCTGGAGCCTGCTTCTCCCTCTGCCTATGTCTCTGCCTCTCTCTCTCTCTCTCTCTGTCTCATGAATAAATAAATAAAAATTTTAAAAACATTAATAGAATAAATCTGAAAGTGAAAGATTCTTATAAAATCCAGAGACAGAAACTCAAACTCATTAGATAATCCAACTTCCAGGTCATGCCAGCTTGTCTTAAAGTTTCAGAAAAGAATAAGAATACATGTCTTTCATTTCCAGTACCCTGAAAAAAATAGCCAAATGCTCCTGAGTCAAAGGATCAGAATTCAAGCTATGGGGCTTTTGTTTGCCAGTGAGTTACAAAACTTTTCCCTAGTTCACATGATCTACCACACATCAAATGCAACCAGACTCCATTAAGTCTGATCCTTTTCTCTCAAGGAGCCTGGGCACTCTGTTGTTTGTATATCTTTTGCAATTTAATATTATTGGGAAATGAGATAGATCCAGAAAAATTTTTTTTTCCTGGGTGACTTTTGATGGACCATAAACTTTGTCCACCTTCTCAGAATGCCTTTGAGATGTTCTTTTGCCATTGTCTGACCAGAACAATGGGTTGTTTTTTCTGACATCAGTGATGGTGAATTTATGGTATGACTAGGTCTAAAAACTGACTCACTTAAGACGTATTTGGAAGAATCTTCACAAATATATTGATTAATTTCACTTATAGAAATGAATTTCTTCTTATCTCCTCTCCAAATACTATTAATAATTGTTACTATTTTGAGCCATTGAAAATGCCTAGTTTGTTTTACAAAACCCATCCCAAACCTGTTTTTTTTTTTAAAGACTTTATTTATTTATTCATGAGAGACAAAGAGAGAGCAAGAGAGGCAGAGACATAGGCAGAAGGAGAAACAGGCTCTCTATGGGGAGCCTAATGTGGGACTCGATCCCGGGACTCTGGAATCACTACCTGAGCCAAAGGCAGACACAACCACTGAGCCACCCAGGTGCCCCTCAAACATGCTTAGTTATAAAGAGAAATGGTGATACGTTTGCCTACATAATGCATCTGCATTTTCCATTTTGAAGGGCAAATACCCCTTCCTTTATGCCTTTGGGAAATTTTCCTCATTGATATTACATTGTGGGTGTTCTTGGACTCACCTCTTTTCCTTCCTTGCCTGGGCCAGGCTTTCAGTGGCTTCAGGAAGAGAAAAAGTTGATGCTTACAGTGTTGACTAGAAGATGAACTCTGCTTCTGTTTCTCACCTATTTTTGAATGTGAGGTATGATCAACAGCTAGCTTTTCTTTTTTTTTTTTCCCCAGAATAATCCAATTTGGAAAGAATTCAATTAACAAAATAAAATGGGGGGAAGGGCCCAGGAGGGGCTCTGGAGAGAGAGGACCCCTCCCCACGGCTGTTGCCCCCTGAGCCTGGCAAACCCAGAGAGGGCTCTTGGACCCGCCTGAGTAGAACCCGCCTTAACACCCAGAACCGCTCTGCACGATGCCACCTTCTCCTTGTGTACGCTCCTCCTTATATACAGATTTTAAAAACCAAACAACTGCAGCTGTTATAAAGTGGCTTCTAGCTCTCCTATGCTGGCTTGGCACATTAACGCATGCAAAGCAAGGTTTCAAGGGCTTCACCAAACAGTTAATTTTGGCAAAAACAGAAAACAAACAAAAAGCTAAGATTCCTAAGCAGGATTAAAAGCCACTGAAGTGAAAACGATGTATTTCTCAACAGTATGGAATGAGACTACAGCTACGATCTTTTTTTTTTTTTTTCTTTTTAAGTCTCTGCCATCCTCTCCCCAACTCAGGTCAAAGTTCATAGCAGCATAACACAAAGTCCTCCATCAAGCCAGTGTTCTCTGCTCCGGGGGTCAGAGTTCACAGGTCAAGTTCAGTCCCTCCGAAGAATCATAGGAGGATGCTCGCTGTCCTCCTCCAGCCGCAGAGCGCTGGCCTCCTCTTCCAGACATGCGCTGCCCACGGCCCCCAGCTCGTCTCCGTAGGCAAGTCTGGTTGGAGATGAAGGCACATGAGTACCTGTGGCAACAGTTGTGTTGTAGGTCTGAGTCACTAAGGGGCAGTCGTGAGAGGCTGAGTCTAAGATTTCATTGGTTGTCTCCATGCTTCCATCCAACTTGTGCTCTTTCATCAGGGTACACTCGCCTCCTTCCTGGGGGTCCAGGTTATACACGTACAAGTACCCGTCAGAAGCTCCCACCAGTAGTCAGGGAATCTTCTGAATTGTGGCCAGTGAGCAGATGTTCTTGTGGCCACAGAAAGGCGGGCGCACTGTGGCAAAAGCTCTGCCCTGGTTGAACATTTCTGTTACTTGGGAGGGCAAGTAGCTGGTGGAAGCCATGAGTACCTTCCCGAAGTACCCAGTCCAGGTGGTGGGCTCCTCCTGAGGTTTTTCTTTCACAGTCTCAAGTTTGAAGATGTGCACAGTCTCAGTGTTGCTGGATGCAGAGAGGAACATGCTGTCCATGCTGAAGGCCAAGGAGCAGATGCTCACACACCTCTTAACTCCTCTCCGGAACTCAGAGTTTTTGTCCCTCTGGAATGGAGAATACTCTAATCACGGTCCCCTTCTCGGAGGCAGTGGCAAGCTTGGTTCCACTGGCATCAAACGCCAATGCTGCCAAAGGACTGTCGTGAGCTGGGATCATGTTTGCAGCTCTCAAATTCATGGTGTCGAAGACCTGCACCTCTCCAATAGTGGCACTGCCTGGGTATGCCAAGTAACCATTGTCGTTGTGTATCGACAGCGCACACAAGCCTGCAGGGTTTGGAGGGGTTTCCCTGATCGTGTGCAGTACTTTCTTTCTTTTTTTTTCTTTTGTGTGTGTGTGTGTGTGTGTGTGTGTGTGTGTGTGTGTGTGCAGTACTTTCATGTCCCGAATGTTGTGTATATAGAGAGACTCCTCCAGGCAAACTATTAGCCTCTGTCGGTTCAGCTTCACGGCCAGTATGGTATTTGAGTAGCTGTAGTTGCAGATCTCAGTTCCTTTCTTAAAATGGCAAACTTTTAGCTTTCTAGGAGCTTTGAGGCTGACGACGGCCACTAAGCTGCTTGAAAACAATCTCTCTACAATGCACACATCTTCCCTATCAGTGCATTCATAGATCTGTTCCAGCTTATCCACAGAAGAAAGGGAGAAAAATTTATAACCGGACTTACTACCAACAGCTAGGGACGTGTTGTCCTGGTTGAAGTCGGCGAAGAGCAGCTGCAGGTTCACGGTGGGCGCGGGGCGGGCGGGGCGGGCGGGGCGGGCGGGCCCGGCCAGGGGCTCGCGCGCGGGAGGGGGAGTCGGGTGAGCTCAGGGTGGGGCCGGGCCCAGCTCGCCGCCGCGCGGGCCGCAGCTGGCTGCTGGGGGATCAACCACCGCCTCCTCCGGTGCCGGCTCTTGTCTATGCTCCGGAGCCGGGGCCAACAGCTAGCTTTTCTTTCTTTCTTTCTTTCTTTCTTTCTTTCTTTCTTTCTTTCTTTCTTTCTTTCTTTCTTTCTTTCTTTCTTTCTTTCTTTCTTTCTTTCTTTCGATAGTCACAGAGAGAGAAAGAGAGAGAGGCAGAGAGAGAAGCAGGCTCCATGCACCGGGAGCCCGACGTGGGATTCGATCCCGGGTCTCCAGGATCGCGCCCTGGGCCAAAGGCAGGCGCCAACCGCTGCTCCACCCAGGGATCCCCAACAGCTAGCTTTTCAATGATGGTATCAAGCTTGGTTATTCCCTTTACCGTGAAAGGAGGACCAAAGTCACCATTTCGATCAATTTAGAGCAGAGAAGTTGTCTTCCGTATCATGAACATACACCAGCTTCACTGGAAGAGATTTTTCATTTGTTCCATACAAGAAGCTTCTGGACGAGGATTATGGGTGAGTTTTAAGAAAACTATTATTTCCTAGGTTCTGCAGATTATTTTCATGGTTGGGTCAAACATCTCAACTTTTTGTCAGTGGGCTTCTAACAATCATATATATTTTTAAAGATTTTATTTATTGATTTGAGAGAGAGACAGAGCATGATCGAGAGAGAGCACAAGAGGCAGAGAAGGGTAGAGGGAGAGGGAGGAGCAGACTCCCCACTGGGCCGGGAGCCCAGTATGGGACTCAATCCCAGCACCCTGGGATCATGACCTGAGCTGAAGGAAGATGCATAACTGACTAAGCCACCCAGGTGCCCAACTATCATATTTTTTAAGCTGCCATGATTGTGGCCATTCTCTTCCATGGCGACAGTAGTTACTATGATGGTTGCAACTAACTGTAGAGGCTAAATAAATTTTGCTTGTCTAGTCTCTCTACTTTCAATGCAGTTTCTCAGTGTTGCTTGATGAAAAACTCCTTTCCACCTTTTTTTTTTTTTGGTTTAGCTGAACAGTTTCTTCACAAGCTTGGTGAAAGACTCCCTCTCTTCTGCAGACCCCTCCGGTATTTTATTACTCTCCAATAATCAATCTTTTTTTAAACAACCAAAATTTGGTAACATGGTTATATTAAGGGACAATTATTTTTTCTGAACCATTACTCTGAGAAGAAAATTCTTACAAATATTTTTTATTTTTTTGAAGATCAAATATATTTCTTCTTTTTTTAAAAAAAAAGATTCATTTATTTATTTTAGAGAAAGAGAGAATGAATGAGCAGGGAGAAGGGCAGAGGGGAAAGAGAATCCTGAAACAGACTCCCTGCTGAGTTTGGAGCCCAACACAGGGCTTGATCCTGGGACCCTGAGATCATGACCTGAGCCAAAATCAAGAGTCCATTGCTTAACTGACTGAGTCACCTAGGTGCCCCTTACAAAGATTTTTTAATGAAACAGCTTTTAGATGTATGTTATGTGCATTGTCATTGAAAATAAGAAAATTATAAATCATATAACATCTGAACTATTGTGAAAAATCCAAAATTTATATGTACTATAGTAATAGAAGGTATTTTATTCTATTTGGCTTGTATTTATTTACATACTTATCCTTACCTCCTCTCTGGAGCTGGGCAGTGAAGTCTCTGAGGGCAGAAAACAACGCTCAACCAAATTTGTAACTTTCACTGTTTTTTGCACGTTAGACGTTCTCGGTGATACAAAGCCCGTGAACCCTCCAGAAGAGTGATTGACACGGAGAAGTCAGAAAAGATGTGTCCTTCTTCTTTCTGTTTTCTCAACTTAAAGCGGCCGGATTTAGTTTTAACCAGAGACATAGTGATGGCAAATGCCATAGAGCTACTAGGGATTCTGTGTTTTTTTGTTTTTATTTTTGTTTTTGCATCCTGGCTTCACAATGCTTTTGGTTTCAAATGGAAGAACCAATATGTTATTTTTGTCGGTATAATTGGTAATTATATATTATATGAAGCTAGGTAGCAGATTATCTTTCTCTTCAAGCACCTTTCACCTTTCCATTTGGTTATATTCTCCCTAACATTTTCCCAACTAAACCTTCCTTCTTCTCACCCATTTGTTGTCTATGGAATACCAAAGAATCCTATTGGGGATTAGACCCCACCCTATAAATTCCATTCCCTGGTCCAAACTTTCTGTCTTTCACTCAGTAACTGAGTGCTTACTATGTGTCAGGCCCTATACTAGGTTTAGGTTTGGTGTTAAAATAGCCAATTCATTACAGTTTGTCTTAATAATAAAATTTTATTTTGATGATATGTGGTTTTCCAAAGTGTGGACTGAAGGAGACAAAGTAGCATAAGGATCTTGGCTGCACTTGGCCACAGTCTTCTGGAAGAGAGGTGACATCTGCATTAAGTGAGTGATAGGATGGACAGAGTAGAATTTAGGTATTAGTAGTAGTGATATGTAACAGGTACATACGGAGCAGGTGATGGTTGATCTGATATGAAGAATGAGAAAGAACAACAAAGGCTATGTATGATACCCAGGTTTCTCCTGTGGCAGCTGGGTAGCCAGCAGACTGTTTACTGAGATACAGAATACCAGAGGATGGATACATGTGGGAGATGGAGAATAATAACTGAATTTCGGGGACTGTGGAACAAGATGTCTGATGGATGTCTGAGAGGTCCGATAGACATTTTGCTGTATGGACCTGAACTTCTGAATAGAACTCTGAGCTTCTGATAGAGATTTCAGGGTTGTCTATACATATGGCAACTGAAACAACATGAGTGGACGAGATGGCCCAGAGTGAAGACAGAGAGAAGAGGAGAGATGTGGGGTAAAGTCCTGAGGAACTCCAACACTCGATGCATGTATGAAAGAGTAGCTCACAGGAGAAATGGTGCAGAAGAGGCACAGAAATAGGAAATAAGGAGATGTGGTGTCCTGGTACCAAAGAAAGGGGGCATTTCAAATGAAGGAAGATGTCAACAGTGTTGAAGGCTGTACAGACTGAGTAATGAAAATAACCAACAGGTCTGACAATAAGGTGACCTTGCAAGAGAGTTTTAGTTAAAAAACAAAACAAAACAAAAAAAAAAAACAGGCACGTGTAGCACCTGACAAAGTCGAGTGGGAAAACATCGCTTTCCAATAATCTTAACACTTCAATGCGTGTCTCTGTTAATTGAAAAGAGATATTAGTGGATGAATTAAATCCTTCATTTTATGAGCTAATGTGTTCCATTTCCTAGAAAACAGAACAATCAATCCAGTAAAGATACGTGTGTCCTAAAAAAAAAAAAAAAAAGCCTACAAGGAGGTTAAGAGTAAGAATGTCTGCTCTAAAGAAGACTAGTGAGAAAGATCTTTATTACCTGTGCGGAGGAGGTTTTAAGGTCTCCTTAAATGTCATTACATAGTCAATGGCCTGCTTTTCCTACAGAGAAGGCAGGAACTTGCTGTAACTTTCCCTTTCCTTGCTCTAATAGCCTAAATGCAATCAATTACCTGCTGTCATTTGCCCTACACTATTTTTAGTACCTGCTTTTTATAATTATCAGTCAAATGCCCTGTTAGCTGGTGGGAAGCCAGATGGCAGAAACACAAACTATGAGGGCTGTGACCTCAGACAGGCAGCATAGGAGTTCGGACCCTGATCTTAGATAGAACCTGTTCTGCACCAAACCTCAGTTTCCCCATCTGTAAGATGTGGATGCTAATTGTTATTCTTATCAAGTTGTTCTAAGGCTTAGGTGACACAAGAGGTAGATAAAGCACTTAGTTGACTGGTCCACAGTAAACACTCATATAAAGTTTTCTTTTTCCTTCCTTCCTTCCTTCCTTCCTTCCTTCCTTCCTTCCTTCCTTCCTTCCTTCCCTCTTCTTTCTTTCTTTCTTTCTTTCTTTCTTTCTTTCTTTCTTTCTTTCTTTCTTTCTTTCTTTCTTTCTTTTTCTTTCTCTTTCATTATTTATTTATTTATTTTGATGGAATGTCATTTTAAAAAGGCTTTGTGTGTAGGAGAAGCCATTTCAAGGTCAAGATTAAAGTCGTTATCAAGGCTGTAAGAATAAGGCTGATAGTGCGTTTATCAGCAATATTCATTTGCCTGCTGTATTGAAAAACCAGGTATAATCTTCTTATTGTCAATCAACCTGCTTCCTCTTCTGCCACTGCATTAGCAAAAGCTCAACAGTCCTTTCCTGCTTTATGTTGTTAATTGATGATTGTTGGCATCACCATTTCCTGCAGAGGAATGTTGGCCTTTTTGGGTATCATTTAAATGTGACAAGGTTTAGCTGAATCTGAAAAAAAAAAAAAAATTCCAAGTCACTAGGCACAGGATTTCTTAATTGTGTGATGATGATCGCAGCACATTTAGCCAAAGCTGTCAGAGGCTGGGGGTGTATCCCCTATGCTTAACCATGTTGGACCTTCAGCTCACGATGTTTTGGGGAGTGTTAGATGGATTTGGTTTAGGGTTATTAGCACTATGAATTTATTAGGCACCAATAGCAAATGATTAAGGTCATCAGGGTCAGAAAGAGAAGGGCATATACTTTTCTCAGCAGCCAACCAAAGATGACAGTGATAAAAGGTAAACATGTGGGGCACCTGAGTGGCTCAGTCAGTTAAGCATCTACCTTCAGCTCAGGTCAAAATCCCAGGACCCTGGGATGGAGCCCCACATCAGGTTCCTGCTCAGTGGGAGCCTGCTTCTCCCTCAACTCCTCACTCATGCTCTCTGTTGCTATCTCTGTCTCTCTCTCTCTCTCTCAATTAAATAAAAATATTTTTTTTAAAAAAGGTAAAAATGCATATAGTATATTTTCACTGTGCAGAAAAATTACAAATTCCTGGTTTGGCTAAAATTATTCCACACGAGGACTATGGAAACATTTGACAAAAATGAAGCTTTCATGTGTTAAGCAGCTACTAACTTGATCTTATTTTTTTAAATGATAATGATGATGATGATGATTATATTATAGCTCTTATTTATTTATTGAGAGAAAGAGCATGTGCACAGGGCAGAGGGATAGAGGGAGACAGGGAGAGACTGAAACTCAAGCTGACTGAAACTCGCTGAGCAGGGAGCCCAACTCGGGGCTCCATCTCATACCCTGAGATCATGACCTGAGCCAAAATCAAGAGTGGATGCTTAACCACTGAGCCACCCAGGCACCCCTACCAGCCTGATTTTAGCATCTCACTAATTTATTAATGACTATACCTTGGGTAAGGGAGAACAATGACACAAGGGATTTAGGGCTATTGACAAAGTGTGAAAAAAGTGACAGATGACAGAATTTAGATAATTAGTATAGAAAATGAAGGCAGAATGAGTTTGAAAAGGTTCCGAGAAAGGAGAGAGGACAGAAGTAAAAAATGTAAGAGTGGGAATTTAATGCATCAAAGTCAGACCAGTTCTAGATAATGCCTGACCAAGATAGGAGCCCCTCCTCTGGTCCAAGTGTCGGGTTCTTGCTCATCTGCACTACCGCTACATGACGACAGCTTCTGGAGACGGGACTGGAAGTAAGTTAACTTTATAGCATTTGAAAAATGTGGCAGGATGCTAGCTTACCCTTGGGGGAATGAGTCATTTTCCCTTTTATGGTGAGGAGATACCGATCTGTCTTCCTACATAAATTTTCACACTCATTTAACTGTTTTATGATGTGCTTTGGGATCATTTGGATTCTGAGAATACTGTACATGAGTCAGTATTTTGTGATAATATTTCCTCACTTAGATTTTTTTTTTTACTTTTTTAAAATGTCGTTTCCAGAATTACCTTAAGAGTGGCTCCAGACTGTGTTCTACAAAACCGTGTATTAAAAAAATTCATTGCACACTCAATTGCATAGTAATTCTTAGAATTTTTAATGGCAGGAGTTTGTGAGCTACAGACTGAAATATGATCCAAGACCTATTAGAGCTGACGTTACTTCTATTAATAGTCATCTAAATGGCCCCCAAGCCCCGATGGCTTCTCATGTTCAACTCAAGTCACCCTGAACCGGTCACCGAAATTTCAAAGGATTGGCTTATTCTCTTACTTAAAGTTTCACTGATGAATGTTTTTCCCTATTTGGTGTCTGCCTTTGGAAAGATAGCTGCAAGCAAGGAACACTCATTAACTCAGTTATATGGGAGGGTGTGTGTGTGTGTGTGTGTGTGTGTGTGTGTGGAAGCGCCAAAGAAAGGCAAACTTTTCTTACTGATGTAAAGTCATTTTTAGAGCTATTAAACCTCTAGAGGAGAAAATGATTTTTAGTGCATGGTCCTTGCCTTGTAGAGTCTGCCACAAACACAGTCACTGACTTTTTAAGATACTATTAAGACAACAACAACAACAACAAACACAGCTGGTAGGCCTAATATTTAAATATTGCCCCAACAGGATGCCCAGCAGCTGGTGCTGAATAGCAGGCGAAGTGCATAATAGTGAGAGCGTGAACTGGAAACTTGTTCCTTCTTTCTCTCCCTGGTGGCAGGCAGTGGTGACAGGAGGGAGAGACTGGAGAAGGTGGACTCTTCTAGGTAGGTGAGTGGATGAGATAATGAAGTAAGTTAATTTGGGCTCCACTGGCTTATCTATCTGTTGCTGGCACTTTTGTCTGTACAAACACGGGAAGCCATCTCCTTCGTGAGGGTCGTAATGAAACAATTTACTTGAAATAAGAAAAAAAAAAAACTTCACATGCTGTTCGCATTTAAATTAGAGTCCTTCCTCTGCAGGGTTGGGTCTTTGTAATCAATGAGTAACAATGGGATATGAATATACTGCCTGTCTCTGGGAAAGCTGAATTAATTCACTTGTGGTCCACCAGGTGATTTGGATTGTTTTGCTCCTTCACTTCAAATGTGACCATGACAGGCTTTGAGAAGGTTATTATATGTATTGTACTTACAAAAGAGAAAAACAATTAAAAAACAAAAAACAGAACAAAACAAAACAGAAAAATACTATTAGTCTTACAAAACTGTGACTAGCGTTCCCCTACAAGTTGAAAATTCCATTTACTTATGTATTTATTTATTGTTTTCAAGTTTTAATTTAAATTCTAGTTATTTAGCATATACGGTAATATTAGTTTCAGAAGTGGAAGTGATGAATCACTTCCGTACAACACCCAGTGCTTGTCACAAGTGTCCTCCTTAATGACCATCCCCCATCTAGCCCATTTTCCTACCCATCTCCCCTCCAGCAACCCTCAGTTTGTTCTCTATTGTGAAGAGTGTCTTATGGTTTGCTTCCCTCTCTTTTTTTCCCCCTTCCTCAATTCCAACTTTAGTGAAAGGGAATATAAGGGAAGGGAGAAGAAATGTGTGGGCAATATCAGAAAGGGACACAGAACATAAAGACTCCTAACTCTGGGAAACGAACTAGGGGTGGTGGAGGGGGAGGAGGGCGGGGGGTGGGGGTGAATGGGTGACGGGCACTGCGGGGGACACTTGACGGGATGAGCACTGGGTGTTATTCTGTATGTTGGTAAATCGAACACCAATAAAAATTAATTTATTAAAAAATAAATAAATAAATACAAATAAAAATAAAAGTGATTTCTGACTTAAACTTCAAAACGGATGTGGATCAAGTTTTTGAA